ATCCAACTGAACCGTGCAGGGAGTAATGTGAGTACTCCGACCTAGTGAGTAATAATAATAAATAATAGCTGAAGATAAGAAAACACATAACAGCACAAGGCAGTTCTATATCAGGCAGTAAATCACTTAAAGCAGTAAAATTCGTGAAATCATGTGAAATCTCCGTTTTAAAAGCAGGTAAATTAGGTAAAACAACTATTAAGTGGTATATAGTAAAACTGCCCCTCGGGCCCAATATCAACCGCTCAGTACAGTAACTCAGATTACTCTCAGAATAGTATCATATAATAACCACTGCGGCGTGCAGCCCGATCCATATCTCGCAGCGGCGTGCAGCCCGATCCATCGCTGCGGCGTGCAGCCCGATCCATATAGGTACCCGCGCTCACTGGGGGGGTGCAGACTCCGAAGGGGCTCCTACAGCCCAAGCGCAATATTGCTGCGGCGCGCAGCCCGATCCACATAAACATTTGCTGCGGCGTGCAGCCCGATCCATATGAGTATTTGCTGCGGCGTGCAGCCCGATCCATCATATATATGATATACTCACTGTTGGGTTCTCAACCCCTCTCAGTCATTTTAGGATACAATGGTATAGGGTAGGGATCTCAGCCCATATATCTTCCCTCATTTAGGATTAACACTTATAAAAACGGTTCACATTGTTTAATTAATTAGAAACATGACTGAGGATGTGATTTTTACTAAGTAAAGTGAGGAAAATTAGTCATAATACCCCTAAGGGTTCTACAAGTCGGCACGAGGCCCCAAACGTGGCAACTAGCCCAAATCATGATGATAAACAAATCAGCTTAATCAAATACGCAGTAAAATATCAAACGGGACGGACCAAGTCACAATCCCCAGTAGTAAACAACCCCGCGCTCGCCATTTAAGCGCGTGTTTCACCTCAATATAGCACTACGTTGTGCAAATCCGGGGTTTCAAACCCTCAGGATATCATTTACTATCATTACTCACCTCAAGCCGGCCAAAATCCTAGCTCGCTATGTCCTTGCCTCGCAAATCGACCTCCTCGCGGGTCGAATCTAGTCAAAACCACAAAGAATACGTTACAATAGGCTAAGGGAATATAATCCAATCGAAAAGACTCGAAAAATATCGAAATTTACGAAATTGGCAAAACCCGAGCCCCGGGCCCACTTCTCGAAAAATCAGAAAATTAACATCATCCGATTCTTTATCTCGCCACGAGTCTATACATATCAAAATTACCAAAATCGGAGTCCTTTTGACCCCTCAAATTCCACTTTGAAATGCCAAATTCCCAAGCCCTAGCTTTACCCTCTTTTGATGAATTTCCACAAATTTCCACGTTAATTCTACCATTAAATCACGTATTTAGGTCAAGGAACTCACCTCCAATCACACCTAGTCGAAATCCCCTTCAATTTCCGTCCAAGAGCTCTCAAGGTCGATCAAAAATGGTGGAAATGAACTTAAGCTCGCGGAACAAAATAAGCTTTAAAACCCTTCTCTGAACAGTGATTTTCACATCTGCGGTTCCTTTACCGTATTTGCGGCTACCGCTTCTACGGTTATACCTCCGCTTCTGCAGATCCTCGTTAAGTCCATGACCGCTTCTGCGGTCCTCTATCTGCATTTGCGGACCTCGCTTCTGCGGATAATTGTCCGCTTCTGCGGAAACACCATGGCTTCACCCTTTCGCACCTGCGACTCTTCCACCGCATCTGCGGTCTCGCAGATGCGGCTCCCCTTCCGCATCTGCGCAATCTTCCATCCAGGCCAAATGACCGCACCTGCGAGCCTTCTTCCGCACCTGCGCAACCGCATCTGTGATTCCTTTTTCGCAGATGCGGAAATACCAGAAACCAGATACACAACAATCTCATGAGTCCAAATTTCATCCCGATGGCCATCCGATATCACCCCGAGGCCCCCGGGACCTCAACTAAAAGTGACAACCCATCCTAAAACATCATTCAAACTTGTTCCAATCATCAAAACACCACAATTAACACCAAAACTATCAAATTACATCGGATTCAAGCCTAAGTTCTTCTAAAACTTCTGAATTACGCATTTGATCAAAAACCCAACTAAAACACCTCCGAATGATCTGAAATTTTGCACACACATCCAAAATCACCTAACGAAGCTACAGCAACTCTCGAAATCCCATTCTGACCCTCGGATCAAAATCTCACCTATCAACCGGGATTCGCCAAAATACTAACTTCGCCAATTCAAGCCTAATTCTACACCGGACCTCCAAAATCAATTCCGATCACACTCCTAAGTCACAAATCATCCCCCGAAGCTAACCAAATCACCGAAAATCACATCCGAGCCCTCTAACTCACAAGTCAACATCCGATTGACTTTTCCAATACAAACCTTCCTTAAAGAGACTATATGTCTCATTTCCATCCGAAACCAATCCAAATCGACTCATTCACTCAAGACTCTTATAATAAAACATAAGGAAGCAGAAAATGGGAAAAATGGGGCGGTAACTCACGTAACGACGGGCCGGGTCGTCACATATATATAATTACACATCATTCAATTTTTTAATTTAAGTGATCGGGTGAGCACCTATTTAGGCTGATTAGATAAAGCCAAAAGAAAAATATAAAATAATTTCAACCAAAGACTAAAAATATAATTAAAGTTCATATGTAGACAATTTTTATTAAAACTCATCCTTTTATAGTGAAATAAATTAATTTTTGGTAACAAAAGAAATAATGACATAAAAAATAAGATAAAAGAAAATAAATATTGAAAAAATGTTAGAAAGATCTAAAAACGAGAAATAAAAGATGACAACAAATTTCTTCTTATGTTTCATCTTTGCTGAGTATAAAAAATTTGAAAATTAATCTCATCGATTTCAAATATATTTTTTTCAACTCAAATACATAGATTATAAGATAAGGATATCTTAGAATATATTTTTTTAATTTACATTATGTGTCGTTTTTAAAAAATCACTATTACTAACAAACTGATATGATATTCGAATTTGAACTGGAATGCAATTTGGGTAGTTTGCATTGAGGTTAAGCCAAGTATGGTATCGAAAAATAAACTACTTGACAATTTAAAGACAATACATGCATTTTTTATAATAATAATCAACTATTTAACATTTAATGATTCAAAGAACAATTTTTTTTGTATATATAGGGTATTAAAAATTCAAATTCTGGGGCTAGAGATATCGATAAACTTAAGTGGAGTCGTACTGAAATAAATCCGGCCAAAGAATTATTTAAATTTTTATATAGCCGATTAAAGTGAATTTTAAATTAAGGATAATATCGTCACTTGCATCATTATAAAGATAATCATTATTATAATATATATAAAGTTGTAGAAATTGAAATTTCAAAATAGAAATATTTTTTGAAAGATAAAATCATACCAAATAAGAGTTCAAGTCGTAGTATAAGAATCGAGTCGTAATCAAAGAATCGTTTATATCGTGTCAACATTTGTGCTTTGCCATAAATATGAGTTATTATTTCACTTTGTGGCTATTTTTAGGTTCCAATGACACCTATGAGAATAGTTCAAAAATAAAATTATCACTACGAGAATTGAGAAAATGTTAGTCTTTTTTCAAGTAGTGTTTCTTAATTAATATATGACGATTATCTATAATTATTTAGAAGGTTTAAATGTTAAGGTTATTTACATATAATTCAAATAACTGAGATATTTAACATGGCTAATGTCAAATATCAAAATGGAGTAAAAAAAATTCACTAGCTAAAGAATCTTTATATTTTTAGATAGCCAACTAAATGAGTTTTGAATTAAGAATAATATTTTCAATTATATTATTATAAAAATTATTATTATTGAAAAACAACATTTTAGAAACTGAAATTTTAAGAAAAAAGTATTTTTTAAGTGATATCAACACACCAGATAAGAGTACAAGTAGTAGTAAAAGAGTTAAGTCTTATCCAATGAGTCATTCATTATCTCAACATTTGATTGTTTTGCCATAAATATGAGTTATTATTTTGCTTCCCGACTATTTTTAGGGTCCAATGACACCGGCAAAAATGCTATCAAAAAAGAAAAATAGAAGAAATGGTTTATTTTTTTTCATGCAGTTAATATCCAATGATTATCTATATTTACTGAGAAATTGTAAATTTTAAGATTATTTATATACAATCCAAATAATTTAAATATTTGACATAAATAGTGTCCGCGCATTCGCGCGGGTACTAATACTAGTTATGGAATAAAGAAGGAGTGATGCTATTAATTAATAAAAAAAAAAGGATCAGCCAGGTAAAATTCTCAATAAATTATTAGTATAGCCCAACATCATTATGACTCCATAATACCGCCTTGGAGTTTTGAGTTACAAAAACTGAACTCCAAAAAAGTATTTAGAGTTTCACTTATAATAAATAAAATCGAACTTCTACAAGTGAATTCTATGATAATATTTGAAGTTTGAAAAGAGAACGAGAAAAATATAGGTTGATAAAGACAACATGAAAGGGGGAAGAAGTTCCTCGTCTGCCTCCACGACACCGAACTATACTGTTATTATTAGTTTGGATTTTTGTTTTAGAAATTAGGTTGAAATTCTAGCATAATAAGCCGGAGTTTACACCAATAAAATTATGAACTCCAATATACCGTACTACAATTTCGCATGTAGTTGATTTTTCAACTCTAGCATAGTATATTAGGGTTTCACTTATGGAAGCTTCGAACTCCAGCATCGATTGCTGGAGTTGTTCTGTGTTTTAGTATTGGGGGTATTTTTGTGTGAAAAAGTAGCTAAATGCTAATAGCTTTTTAAATACTGGCTAAACTCTAATAGCTTGGTCTAAAAGTGGCTATTTTTCTAAAAAAATCAATTTTTACGACTACAATACAACCTTCATTGTATTTTTGAGGGACAAGCCCAAAACAACCTAGGTATTGGTCCTAATTTGACTTTTCATTCAGAGGCCCAAAAGTTCCTGAGTCTGCGGTTCTCCGTTCAAACTACCTAAACCCTTTACTCCATTGCCAAAACTGTCGTGGCCTTTCTTCCTCCAACACAACCCACATACATGGCATCATTGCCACCATTTCTACTTCCATCTCCACCTAAACCCTCTTTCAAAAAGGCCTATTTCTCTTCTCGCACATGAATACAGATTCTTATACAAATTTTATACCTATAGAATAGTAATATAGATGGACGTAAGAAGATTGAAAATTCCCAAAACTATTGCTATATTTTCACATATCAAACGTCCTTTGACCTGTGTGATTTATACTGCTGCTTCAGATCAAATCAGCGAGACATTACATCAAACACCTTCTAAGCAGCCTAAACCCAGCTCAGAAAGTAAACAGCAAAAGGTATTTGATTTGAATTTGCGCAAATGGGTTACTTCAGTTCTCTCAAACCCACATGTGGATTCGTTAAAGATTAAAGATTTGCTGACCCATCTGACTCCACAGCAGTTTGATGCTATTTTCTTGGAAATTCATTCATCTTTAAAACCATTGAATGCTTTGAAATTTTTCCATCTAGCGTCCGGTTCTTATGGTTTTAGTTTCAGTGTTCAATCTTATTGTACTCTGCTTCGTTTGCTCGTTTCCTCGAATCATGATGATGCAGCTAGGTTGCTTTTGATAAGGTTAATTGATGGGAAACTACCAGCATTGTTTGATTGTCCCCAACAAAAGCATGTAGAGGTAGCTGTTTCTTTAGCGGAGTTAAGTCGCCTGTCTGATTTTGGTGTTGCTGTTAGGACATTTGATCTTTTGGTTCATCTATGTTGTACCCAACTCAAGAATGTTGGGTTTGATGTTGCATTGGATGTATTCAGGTCATTGGCGAGTAGGGGGTTGTATCCTTCTTTGAAAACTTGTAACTTTTTGTTGAGTTCTCTTGTGAAAGAGAATGAGCTTTGGAAGAGTTATGAGGTTTTCGGAGTTTTGAAGGATGGTGTTAAACCTGATGTTTACTTGTTTAGCACTGCAATTAATGCTTTTTGTAAAGGAGGGAGGGTGGACGAGGCGAAAGAGTTGTTCCGAAAGATGGAAAACTTGGGTGTCGTGCCAAATGTTGTCACTTATAATAACCTCATTCACGGGCTTTGCAGGAATGGTAATTTAGAAGATGCCTTCCGTCTGAAGGAAGAAATGATATTAAATGGTGTAAAGCCAAGTATTGTCACTTATAGCATAATTATTAATTGTCTGATGAAACTTGAGAAATATGATGAAGCTGATTGTGTGTTGAAAGAAATGTCAAACAAGGGGCTTGTTCCAAATGAGGTGATGTATAATACCATCATTAATGGCCATTGCTCAGCAGGAAATATCCAGAAAGCTTTAAAGGTAAGGGATGAAATGTTAAGAAAAGGAATTCTCCCCAACTCGGTTACTTGCAATTCACTGATCAAAGGCTTTTGTAAGGTAAATCAAGCTAGTCATGCTGAAGAACTCTTAGAGGAGATGTTATTACATGGATTGAGTGTAAATCCTGGTTCATTTAATAATGTTGTCCTTGTACTGTGTACAAATTCTAGGTTTTTTTCTGCACTACGGTTTACTAAGGAAATGATATTAAGGAGTTTGAAACCAAATGATGGGTTGCTGACCACATTAATTGGTGGGCTTTGCAAGGAAGGGAAGCATTCAGAAGCAGTTGAGCTTTGGCATATGCTGCTGATGAAAGGGCTCACGGCCAATACAGTGACCTCAAATGCTCTAATTCATGGGCTTTGTGAAGCTGGTAAGATACAAGAGGCTGTTCGGATGCTGAAAGCGATGCTAGATAGTGGTGTTCAAATAGATAGCATGACGTATAATAGTCTTATATGTGCATTTTGCAAAGACGGAAACTTAGATGGTGCCTTTATGTTGCGAGAAGAAATGGTAAAGCAAGGAAGTGCACCTGACATTTCAACTTACAATGTGCTGCTACATGGGCTTGGCGAGAAGGGTAAAATAGATGAAGCCCTGTTGCTATGGGATGAATGTCGAAGCAAGGGACTTGTCTGTGATATATATACCTATGGGGCCTTAATAAATGGTTTGTGCAAAGCTGATAAACTTGGAAAGGGCAGAGACCTTTTCCATGAGATGCTCAGACAAGGCTTAGTCCCAAATATAATTGTTTATAACACCCTTATTGGAGCTTATTGTAGAAACGGGAATGTGACAGAAGCCCTTAAACTTCGCGATGACATGAGAAGTAGGGGTATTCTACCAAATGTTGTCACTTATTCCTCTCTCATACATGGCATGAGCAATATCGGGCTTATGGAGGACGCGATGAACCTTACTGATGTAATGCGTACGGAGGGAGTTCCACCTGATGTTGTTTGTTATACAGCATTGATTGGAGGTTATTGTAAATTGGGTCAGATGGATAAAGTAAGGAGCATTTTGCAGGAAATGTCATCACACAATATAAATCCTAATAAGATAACTTATACAGTCATTATTGATGGGTATTGCCAAGCTGGTAAAGTTAAAGTAGCTAAGGAGTTTTTTGCCGAGATGGTACAGAAGGGAATCACTCCTGATTCTGTCACCTATAACGTTTTGACGAAGGGGTTTCTGAAGGAAGGGGAAGTAGAAGAAGCCTTTTCACTTTTAGATCGTATTTCCCTTACAGGAGTTGGTTTAGATGAAGTTGCATATACTTCTTTAGTTAATTTGCTTCCCCGGAGATCAGCAAGCGCGAACCAAGAATGAAATGAACTGACACAAGGTCCGGACACTCATCTGGTCGGAATAGTCCCAACCCCACGTTTCTAATGCAAAAGAAGCTATAAACTTGCCTGAGCACCTGCTGGACATGTAAAAGGCACCTGTCTGATTTTCTAAGGACATAACGGAGTCATGGCAACGACACACTTCTGCACATTGGGTTAGACTGTCTGTCATCTTTGAAACGTAAATGATTCGTTCTTCTCAATTATATCCTGTTATACCTATTCCTTCATTTTTGGGGAAATGGGGTTGTGTCAACATGTTAATACCATTATATGTGATTTCTAAGAGCTAGGGTAGCTGTCCCAGACAATAGTATTGGAGATTGAAATATTAGGTGCTTGCATTAACATCTTCGACCGGTTCCAGCATGTTGCCACCTTAACCATCCTTTGTTGCTTTTTTGAACTTCTTGTGTCATCTAGTTGCATGGCATTCAGTATTCATCTTTTATCATATGATTTTGCGTTTTCAATCTGCATGAGAAAGCCATGCATGTTTTATTTTTCCCCCTGTTTGCTTTCTGATCCGTTAATCAGGATAGTAACTTAGTGCTCTTGCATTGTCCTCAACATTAAGCAGTTATCTCAAAACTTCAGTGCTGAAAGATTTGTTTCACATTTTCAGTCCTTAAACCTCCAATAATTTTCGTCTCGTTGTGAGAATACAGAAGTCCCTTCGTGAACTTACATTCTGTATTCTACTTTCTGTGGGAACTTATGTGAAAGTTTTCTTTGTTTTTATCAATTTCATTTCCTCCTCTGACATGTATTGCTAAATTTTCTTTTTGCCTTTTTTTCTTTTTTAATTCCTAAGAACTGACTCATCATCGTGGGTCCAGATTTCTTTCATGTGCTTTGAGTTAGTTGCTAATGCTGGTGAAGATAAAGGATCCAGGCAGCGGGTGGATGGTTCTATGGTAATCTTTTTGTAAGCCTTTCTGATACATGTAGTATTCTCCCTTTTTCTGTGCCTCCCCCTAAATTTTGTGTCTGTTTTTGCTCACGTTTTAGATCCTTTCTAATTTAGCTCATTTCTTTACTGATCTAGGAAACAATGGATTTCCCAACTTGTATTCGTCAATATCCAAGCTGATGTTAAGGTTTCTTGAGGCTCATGTTCCAAATACTATGACACCTTTTTAAAATTAGCGCACCATCTTGGTGTATTATCAATGAATTCTCTAATTTTTTTTTTTTGGTAATTCGAGATTTTATATACCAGGTAAAAAGAAGTATTTACAACCGGTTCTAAAAACCCTCAAGGTAGGTAGGAATGCGCCACTCTACAATCTACCCTACTACAAAACTTCAAAATCTATAACAGTTATAACTACTACATTCATAATTAACAGAAACTAAGGATAGTAATTCATTCTTCTCAATTGGCCTGCTATTCTTCTATGGCCTGCACCTCGAACATGTACGTCTTGAACAATCTGTCTCACCAGAGTTGCAGCTTCTCTCCTTCTATCCTTAAATATCCGTTGGTTCCTTTCTTGCCAGGCATAGTATGCACATCCAGCCAAACTCATTCTATAAATCTCTGCCTTGGCATTTTCACCATTCATGAACTGAATTGCCCATGCTTGGTCATCCACCCACCCGATTGCCTCTCTATCAACACCCTGCCATCTAAGCAATTGATTCCATATTGAAGCAGCAAAGGAGCACTTAAAGAACAAGTGGATTACAGATTCAGCTTCTACACACATAAAGGACATATAATATTGCCCGTTACTCACCATTTCACCCGTCTATCTCTGGTATACAACCTTCCATGGGCCACCATTCTCAGCAAAAAATCCATTTTGGGCATCCCATGTTATTACAAACTAATCTCTTCCATGGTACCTTTTGAAACTCCACTTTTATCTTTATATACTACTTCCTGATAGAGAACTGTTGTATCTCCATTAGCTCATCAAAAGAAATGCCTGCTTGCTCCAAGAACTCCCTGGCTTTAAGGATTTTGTTTACCATCCATGATGCTTGTATAACACATATTCCCCAAACAGGTTTACCTTTTATATAATAAGTGTGCACCCATTGAATCCATAGTCTATCTTTCTTCTTACAGAGATTCCGATAATGCTTACAAATTGATGTTTAATTCCACAATGCTTTTTTCTATAAGGTAAATTGCATTAATCAAAAGGGAGAAAAAACTCCCATATACAAGAAGTATACCAAAAAGTAGAGTATTTACATCAAAACATGATTCTCTACAAAAGACGTCCAATCTTCTAAACAAGTAGGGGCTATATAAGTAGAGTATTTACATCAAAACATGATTCTCTACAAAAGACGCCCAATCTTCTAAACAAGTAGGGGCTATATGAGTGCACCAAAAAGCGGTCAAAGATAAAAGACTATTCCTAAGACATGAAAAAGGAGACCCAATCCCCTCAAAAGCTCTCCTATTTCTCTCCCCCCAAACTATCCACATGAGAGCTAACGGGGCGAACTTCTACGCCTTTTGCTTTTTTCTTCTACGGAAACCGGCCCAGCTATATAACATTTCCTTTACAATGCTTGGCATCACCCATTGAACACCAAAAAGATTCAGAATTGCCCTCCACAAACCCGAAGACACAGGGCAATGCAACAAAAGATGATCAACTTCTTCCCCTGAGCTTTTACATATGTAGCACCAACTAACAAGTGTAATTCCTCTCTTTCGCATTTCCACAATGCTATATTAGTCACATTTAGTCCACCAGCAGACTTAGGTAAACACACTTTGTCCCAAGACAGAAAGCTTTCTTGCTTAAGTCCTTTCCACCTCTTGTCCACAAAAACTTACTGCATAACAGTCTCAACAAATGTAATAATCTTCTTAGGCAATACAAAAATTTGTAACCAGAAAGTCTGTATGGAGAACAAAATACTTTTAATGAGCTGACTTCTCCCTGCATAGGACGCAGTCCATGAGGTAACCCTTCCAACCATCTTGTCAAACAAAGGCTGACATTGCATTACTGTCAATCTTTTGGAACTGCCACCCCCAAGTATTTGACCGGGAGTGCTCCTTGAGGAAAGTCCAACAAGCTAAGAATCTCTATTTTAATATCCTCGGGGACCCTCCAAAGAAGATTGAGCTTTCGGCCTTGTTAACTATCAATCCTGAAGCCAATGAAAACTGTTGGGAACAGTCATACATTAGTTTGACTGATACCACATCACCCCTGCAAAGCATCATAAGGTGATCAGCAAATTGCACTATCTGTATTTTACTACACCTAGGGTGGAAGTTAAAATCTGGTTTTTGTCTTAGGATCTTCAACACTCTAGTTAAATATCCCATCGCTAGTACAAACAATAAGGGGATAATGGATCCTCTTGCCTCAGGTCTTTCTTGGCATCAAATGTAGTGGGCCTCCCATTAACAAGAATAGAGTCACTGTCTTCAAGCAACTCATGATCCATCTAACAAATCTATCAGGAAAAGTCAACACAATAAGTATTTGTTCTATGAACACCCATTCCAAGGAATCATACGCCTTTTGCATGTCTAGCTTGATCATACATCTAGGTGGTAAACCTTTCTTTCAATACCCTTTAACTAGTTCATGCTCCATAGTAATGTTGTCTGTAATGACTCTCCCTCCTTGGGACAAAAGCTGACTGGCAGTTATCAACAAGATCATCCATAATTCCCTGTAGTCTTCTGGTTAGGATTTTAGAGATGATTTTATATATTGTTGTGCGGCAAGATATAGGTCTAAAGTCCTTGACAGTTGAAGGGTTCTTGACCTTGGGAATTAGTGTCACTGATGTGCAGTTTATGGGCTTAAACATCTCATTTGTATCAAAAAATTGTAGAACAGCCTGTGTAACTTCATCACCTATAATTGGCCAGGCTTTCTTGAAGAAATACGCATTAAGCCCGTCACACCCGGGGGCCTTCGTATCATTAATATTGTTAAATGCTTGAATTACTTCCTCACTACTAATCGGACTGATTAACTGCTTCTGCTGATTTTTGTTAAGTACAGCCCCATAGCCCCATCTTGAATAACTATAGGACTAATTATGGGTAAAGATTCAACAGATGTGCCCAGAAGACTCCTATTAAAAATCACCACTTCTTCCTTTGTATGAGCTTTAGTATGTAGCAATGCCCCTTGAACTGACTGTAGATTCCTAATGGAGTTCTGCCCACACCTGTTCTTCATGTTAGCAAAGAAATATGCAGAGTTAGAATCTCCTAACACAAGCCATTTGATTCTAGATTTCTGCTTGTATATACTCTCCTCAATTGCTCCCCATTTCTCTAACTATGATCTCAACGCCTTCTCATCTACTATTAAATTAGCGTGTAACAGCTGAGTTCCCATTTGTTGTTGTACCACCTGGAGATTTCTTCTTATTTCTTCTAGCTTCTTGTCTACCCCCGTAAATTGTCTTGTGTTCAACTTCTTTATATCTTGCTACACCTCCTTGAGCTTATACCATATCTGCCTCATACACATATTTGTACCAATATTATCCCAACAATCCCTGATCAATTGTAAGAAGTCTTGATGCTCTGCTAGACAGTTGAAAAATTTGAATGGCCCAGCACCCTTCCCCTGCCGCCCTTCAGTAGTAAGTTTAAAAGGGGAATGATCTGAAAAGAAAGGTTCCATCACTATAATTTTCCAAGTGGGCCATAAGTTCATCCATTCTGCATTCACTATCGCCCTATCGATCTAGCTATTCACATTGTTGTTTGTCTAGGTATTGTCCCTACCAGTGTATTGTAACTCAATCATACAAAAATTCTCTAAAATCTCTAACTTCTCCTTCTTGTATAGGAGCCCCAAATTGTCTATCCTCAGCATTGCCCCTACCAGTGTATTGTAACTCAATCATACAAAAAATTTCTAAAATCTCTTAACTTCTGCTTCTTGTGTAGGAGCCCTGAATTGTCTATCCTCAGCATGCAATATAGTGTTGAAATCACCCATTACCAGCCATGGGCTCTATTTTACTCCTGCTAGCTCCCTGAGTCTCTCCCATAAATCCCTTCTATCTTGTATTGTGTGGTATCCATATACAACAGTGAAATTAAACAACAAGTTGGTTGTATAAATTCTCACCATTCCATGGATGCAGTGAGCGCTTATGTCTATTACTTTAAAGTCAAAAACATTAGGACCCCAAAAGACCCAAATTCTCCCTTAAAACCCTTTTTAGCTCTTTTTGCTTATAGGACTTATTCATTCCTCTTACATTCCAAGTAATCAGACTCATACCGGAACGAAAAGAGAAAATGTGATATCCCCAGCTCCTATCTGGCTACTTTGTCCCCTTTCAAATGATTGACGACCCTGCAAAGTATGATTGCCTGTTGGCTCAACTAATGGACTAAATCCATTCTTTGTGCCAATGTTGTCACCTTCATTACTCGCTACTTTATTTGATTTAGCAGTTGATTTCCCTGTAACAGCTTTCCACCTTCTGTTTGAGGTTGTTCATTGTTCTTCTCTAGCTGAACAGGAAACTCTGTTTCCTTGGCTACCTTCTCTGGTTGTTTCTGTTGCTTTTGTATACCTTGTTGCTAAACATGTGTCACCTTTCGAATATCTGCCATTGATTCACTCCTTTGCCAAACATGTTTGGTGATGACATTCCTTCCTTTAGGTAGCTTAGGTTGAGGCCTCCTTTCTGTCACTCTCTTACAATCATGCCCAATGGTTAGACATGTGGAGCAATATGCTGGTTCCCAATTAAACTATCTCCTGCTCCAATATCTTTCCTGTACTTCACAGTGGCGGAGGCAGGATTAACCATAAGGGGGTTCTCAAAAAAAAAAAAAGTTAAAAAAGATTGTAGTTAGTGGGAATAGAACCAATGACCTTGCAAAAGTTTTGAACCCCCTTGACCACTAAGCTATGCTTTTAAGTTATGTCAAGGGGATTCAAAACATAATATATATATATATATATATATATATATATATATATATATATATATATATATATATATATATATATATATATAACAGATTATGTCTTATATACAGTGTAATTTTTCGGCGAAGGGAGTTCGGGTGAACACCCTTCCGCCGCCCCTGGTCCTTCACCTTCACCTTTTTTGGCAGGGGTCTTGTAATGTCGACCTCAATTAACATTCGAGCAAACGAGATACAAGCGACTGAAGTAGTACACTCATCTGCAAAAAGTGGTTTGCCTAGGCCACTACCAATACGACTAAGAGTCCGTATTCCCCAACAGTTAAGCGGCAAATTGGGAAATTTCACCCATAATGGCACAATTCGTAGCACTTCATCATAGAAATTAAATTCAGAACTCCATGGCTTCATTATCACATACCTATTGTTAATAGTTTGTGGACCAGAGAATAATGCCTCATTTCTTTCCTAGTAGCAGCTGAACGGGATCACAAATAGTCTTCATTGTGATAATAGAATTGTGATTTTTGAGCGAACCTCCATTGAGCTGGAAGGAATCTCTCAAAGCTCCAATTGTTGGTGAGTTGCCAATGACATACAAGATAATTGCATGCTCCCACTTCTTATTTTCTTCTTCAATCTCCTCTTGGTCCAATTCCACAATTATCTGCCCTTATAGTATTAGCGGAGCTATGAAGTCCAGTTTCATTCCCCTAGAGGCCAGCTTATTCCCGATGACAATATTGGCCCAGGTAGGAACACATTTGGTAGCATCAGTCTGATCAATCTTCATTATCTCTTCAGTAGGGGTCTCTTGCTGAAACTTATCGGGAATAGCTCTTCCAGACTCAGGCCTAGGGCTTTGAGTTTCCTTCAATTGCATTACAATTCCACTGCCTCCGCTATTCACAACCCTAGTTGTTGAGATAAGCTTAGTTATCCCCGATACAGAAGCTACTGTCCCTGTAGTGTTCCTTACTCCCTGGTACATTTTTTTAGAGCTTCATTGCCCCTTATCGGCGGAGTGTGCGTGCCCTCATTGTTGTGGTTTGGAACCTCAAATATGCCCTGTTCCCTACCAATCTTCCAATAGCTCAGGCTTCTCAATTGCTCTGCGATCCACTTTTGCTATCTTCACTTCTGATAATTGAATTTTGTTCGCAGTTTGTTTCGTCTTGCCCCTAGCCATTTCCGGCATAGGCATACGGTAAGTTTCACCACTAACGTGTGCCGAGAGGAGAATTAGCTAGAAAAAATAGGGCTATTTATTTATCATTTTCTTTTTTCGAATTCTCTAATTATCATTTTAAAAAAGGAACAATGTTATGCTTTTGAGTGAAAGACAATTGTGTGTATCCCCTTCGTATGAAAGTGACATTTTTTAAATTTTGATTTGTAGACTAATAAAACTTTATCAGTAATGCCCCCATAATCTAATGTCTGAAACTAGGTCTTGCAAATTGAAACTCAATTTAGATGTGCAATCAAAAGTTTGCTGAAATTAAGAACCCATAAAAGATTCTTGATAATTCTTTTTCAATTGACAGTATCATCTTCACATCCTTGTTGACTGGCATTGGACGAAAGATAATGAGTCTTATTCCTTCTAGATGTTTGTATATTTGTCAAGCTGTGCTTATGACATACTTTTTGTTTTATTGCAAGTTAATGTTACAAATAATTCTTCTTACATAGACAAGCAACTATCTATTTCTTTAGATAACCTGTTGTCACAGGTTGAAAAAACATTGTTGGGATCTGATTCTATTCTCCCGCCACAGAATAGCAGATAAGTCCAAGATTGCCCTGGCCCCTGAGCACTTTGCTTTTGTTGCTGTAACCAACTCCGTGCCCTTGTATGATGGAGCAGACTGTGCCTAGAACTGCACTCGAAAAGCCAAGACCTACTTCAGCTACGGGGAATCTTCATGCAGATATGATTAAAACGGCAGGGCCACCTTGCCCTAGGACCATCTCGGAGAGCATCAAATGTCACTACGTATCCATTAGTTAAATTAATCTGCTGCATTTGTCGCCTAAGAGATTGTGCCGTGTATTCACATCATCTCCTATAGATGTCTTGCTTCGTCAACACTTGCTTCTCCCACAGCTAATAGGTAATGCATTTCCTATGTAGTTAGCCATCAGTTCCTCGTGCTTGCGTTACTTATTCATCGAGTAACCTTCCCATCTCGCAGCTCTTGTGGTCCTTTCCAATTACATTAAGCTTAGTCTTCTTGATATAAGCTCACGTACGTCTCTGTTTTTGTTGATACAATGAGAGGACGTTGCTTTTGTAGGCTCTCAATGCGTGGTGCATCAATACATAGCAGTCACTTGAGCAATATATTTGGGATTGGCATGTTAGTGGAGCACGAAACAGTTTTATTGATGATCTTGCAAGTAAGAGAGGCTTTTCAATTGTATCATACCACATTAACAAAAACTTACTGAAGGAACCGGCATCACCCAAGGCATGGGTAAATGTTTAACGTTGTGGATACAACTCCACATGCGTAAGTGTGAGTTTGATTGAATTGCCAAGTCTTAATGGTTAGATTTCTTCCAGAGAGACTGCTCTTTTGTGCTACCACAACCAGGGCATTAGCTTTGCCGTCTATGATTTGAGGCTGTATTGCTTGTGGATTTCTCAGATTCGACCAGCAAACAGGTAGAACAGCGAGAGACCATTTACAAGGAAACACTTCCGAGTCCTCAGTGGTTGAATTGATGTGGTTGTGGTTCCATTAGTGGTACATGTAAAATTATGTAACCTAGAGCTCCTAGGAAGGAGGGCGAGGCTTTGAAACAAGTGGCCCCTACCACAGAGCTTATGATAGGACTCACTCTGTGATCACTATTTTCTGTATTTCGATTACCATCTCAATGGCTACCAAATGTTCTTCGTCTACTTAGTTTAGCAACTGACCTTTGGCTGCACCAGTGATATACTGGTCTAAAGTCATCACATTTGTATAGTCAAGTTTGTATTGAGAAAAATGCTGTGAGAACGATATTTGTAGCCAGTATGAATAGATGTATTCTGTAAAATGAAAATAGACGAGCCAGAACTCAAAAGACTTCATTAAAATGTTTTGAGGAAGTATATCTTTAGTTTAGACCAATTGGTACTCGTACTGAATGTTCAATGTCTATGCTTCTGCTACAATTCACCAAAGGAATCAATCATTCCCTACACTATGTTTCATATCGATTAATCATGTTTCTATCCTCCTCCAATAGGACGAAATCAGAAGTCAATCTACATCTTACGCAAATAGAAATAAAGAATAAGGATTGTGATTTGTTCAATAACATTGACTGCCCTTCTACTGGAGCATAACGGTAACACGTAATCCCAATATGAACATAATGCTTTTTTCATCGGTCCATATAGTGAAATTATAGCCTTTCGAATTGTGACTTAAACAATAATTAAGAATTCTTTGACACTTAATTTTATGTGGTGTCATTGTGATACAAGAATTTTAACCAGAGGAAGAGTTGCAAAATCAGTTGAGCAGCACACTGAAAATTGACTAAAGAAATCACATAGGGGCCATTTGGCTATAGGGATTAGATGGATTATATTTACCCGGTATTTAGTTGAAGGAATAGCTAAAATCGATATCATTTTTATACTGAAATTTTGATACAACTTATACCATATTAGAAGTAGATAAGTTATCCAGATTATAATGCCAGGATTATAATTCTTACATATTATGCATTTGAACAAACGACGGCCCCTTAACGACGTAAAGTCGTACGAAAGATAGCACAACTCTTAACTCGAAACGCACAGTACGAGATCACATTAAAAAGATATGCAACTTTACATCTCTACTCTGCCAACAAGTGAAAAGTCCCGTTGGCCAAGACCAAAAGGAAATTACGTTTCAAAAAGATTCACATGACTCGGAGTATGAGGATCAAAGTACTTAACTAGTGAACCTGAACATAAAAAATTTTTAAAAATAAAACTTATATTTTTGAGTACATAATAAATAGTATTATAAATCATAGTAATTCATAATTCAAAATATTTATAACTTATTAAAAAAAATGTAATCAAAGAAAAACTTCGTAGACTTCCCAAATAATAATAGTGGAAATTTTTTTAAAAGAGGGGGATACAAATTAATGGATATCGAATAGAATTTATATACGCCGTAATATGGATGAGGTGACAGCCATTTTCCATGACCTTTAGGAGCACCAGCCAACTATAATGGTGTAACAAACCCGATATTACACCCAACCAACTGATTATATTAACTCAACAGTAATTGTGATTACAATGTAGATGTTAACGATAGTAAGGATAGAGCAACAAAAATCTAAGAATGAAAGGGGATGTGAATTAGACTGATACAGAATTGGAGATAAAAAATATAGAAGAACAGAGATGAGAACACAGAGCTGACACTTGACAACTTCAGCATAAAGAATACTCTACCCCTCTGCTATACTTATAACTAAACATTCAACCTGGGTCCCACAAATAATTATTTAAATTTCCAAATATGGCCTCCACTGAGTTACTCAATAAGTTCACAACAAATGGTATAGGGACAACTCTAACATGTTTTATTTCAAGCATTATATATATATATATACTTTGTACAGAGACAACAAAAAAAGTACAAAGAATAAAACAACTCCAAATGCCTCGGGCGAAAAAGCCACTCATTCCAACTCAACTTTGTGATATAGTTATCACTAAGAGAAGCTAAATTAGTTTGCACTAAAAAGGAGCAGTAGCAATGTCTCTAATTACTGGATTAATCCTAATTGAAGGATGTAACGAACTCTCCAATTCTTCATCTATCACGGTATCCTCGTCCTTGTCACGTACACAAGGAACAACTGGTTCCAATCCCTGTGAAGGCATACATAAAACTGATAAACCATATTGCACTTCAATAAATTGATATTTACAAACTAATCATCTCAACATGATCTATTAAAATAGAACATGAAAACAATTTAAGAGTAGTATTTGTTTTGGAAGATAGCAACTTAAATTAAAAAAAGATAGTTCGATGCACAATAGTATAAGTGCATGAAAAATTCTTAGCCAAAAGCAAAGTGTTGTGGACCACGTAAGTTTTTATTAATTGGCAAACTGATCTAAGGTGGTTAACAACTAACAACCACGCAATCCAGTTGCGCCATGCAACAACACTACGTAAATAAACAAATACCCTTTCTTTATCAACTACCACTAAGGAAAAATGAAAATACTACACGTAAACCTAGTCCTGTAGTATTCAGCAATATTGTATTTTCTCGCACCTATTTTTTTTGGTTGGTATTCTCCTCTCAATTAGTACCTAACCTTTACTACTATGATTTTGGCCAAACCCAACACCCCCCTCCCCCCAAACACCCACAGCCCCTCGATCATTTTTCTGACGATTCTCCCTCAGCTAGAATTTTTTTACATCGAAGAATGTGTACCAATACTCCCTCGGTCTCAAAGCTCTCAAATTATTTATCGTATTTTTTTTTTACACGATCTTAAAAAATATTAATTAAAAAAAAAATTCTGACTATTTATCCTTATTTACGTCTTAAGATATAACTTCTCTTTGTTGAATATTTACTCTATTTATATGCCATCTCCATCTTGAACACCAAGACCAACACCAACACCGTAAAATTCCACTAATGGGATCTGGAAAAGGTAAGGTATACGGAGACCTTACCCCTACCTCGAAAGAGTAAAGAGGCTGTTTCAAAAAGAGGGATGCAACACGAGGACCCATGGGGTCAGCCATCCTAGTACTACTCCAGTCCAAGCGCGCTTAACTTCGGAATTATAATGGGATCCGTTGCGTTAGTGCTGGTATGATCGCCAAAAAAATACTTAATTTTATCTCGAACTTTTAAAATGATAAATATTTTGAGACAACTATTTTTAACAATCACGACAAATAATTCGAGACGAGGAGTAATATGCAACAATTGATTTGTCGTTCAAAGTAATCTTAGGCTAAACGGTTTTCAACATTCATTGATTATTCCAGTATAAAACAATATTCAGGAATCAATAGTAAAACAAATACCAAACAAAAGAAGTTGTTGAGGCTTGAGAATTGAGAAATTACCTCTGTGAAAATTCTCATAGCTTCTTCTAAACCTCTTGTATTTATAACGTAAAGTGCTGCATCCTGCTTCAAAAATCAAGAACCATTAAGACTTTGTTCGAAGTCCAATATTATAAAAAAGAACTAGTATTAGTAAATCAATTTTGTAAACAAAATGAGATCTGCGAGTCCGCATGTGTGTACAAAATCCGTTTATGGTGGAAAATAATTGAGTTAAGCTATTTTACATTTTGTAATTTCATTTCACAAAGAAAGAAAATTGTAAAATAAATTCCTCCCCGGGTGCAGGCGCAGCTATTTTAATTTCCTCTTGTTTACAAATATGAACATAAAATTTTTCCTTTCCTACTTTTTTGTCCAACCAACCAAGGAAATAAATTGCCTTGTTGACCATGATAATGAAAACAAGTTTCACAATAAGTATGAAAAATCTGGCAAGAAAAAGAATATGAAATTACTAAAGAAATAAAAAAAAAAAAAAGAGGAGAAGAATAAATGAATAAGGGAAGAGCAATTACCCTAGCAAACTGAATTTGATGAAGATTGAGAGTTCTAGGTTCATTTTCTATAGATGACTTCCTATCTAATGACCCTGCCATTTTTGCTGTTTATAAAGAACAAACTGATATTTGGTCGAATATTATGTTTCTGTTTTAATTTGTCGTCAACAAACAAAGAAAATATTCCAAAGTTCTGAAAGAATACTATTTGATGTTAATTCTGATAGCTTTTCGCGATCCCTTGAGGCCCTTTTATATAGTATAGCTCTCATGCACCCAAGCCGCCACCGCCTCTCTCAATCCCTGAGGGAAAAGGAAAAAGAAAAAGAAAAAGAAAAATTGATTCGTAAATGAATGCTTTACATTAATGAGGCCTCTAGTTTGTCATAATTACATAAGTTCCCTAATAGAATATTAAATTATACAAATCGTGTATTAACTTAGTATAACTATTAGCTTTTTGCTAAAAACTTTCTATTATCTATCTTCATTAGCGTACAAAACTCGAAACTCTTTGAATATGCCAAGTAAAAAATCTAATATTTCCAGTCTTAAGCCTTAGCAGGAAGTAGAACCAGTGGCGGCTCAACCCTAAAGTCGCTAAAGCAGTGGCTTTAGGCCCCCAAAAATTTAAGGCCCCAAATTTACTCAAATTATATATAATATAGATAATTATGTATTTATTATTAGTGATAAATAAATTAGTTTTAATCATTTGTTGTCAAGTTTTAAAGTTTATATTAATAACTGTAGATTATTAAATTTGCAATTTACTTCCTATTTTTTATTATTCTTTTTTGTTACCTCATGCGTGGTGGATGGGCTCAACTTCTTAATTTGTCTAACTCACTTCAACTTGAATCAATTTTGTTTATAACTATGGTTTTGTAGAATCTTCTTCCATTCTTTAAGTGCTTTTAGACAAATATTCAATCTTAAGCTAATGAAATTATCAAAGGATTAGATATGAAAAACCATTTCTTAACCTCGAATGTCTTTTGAGGCCTCTTTTTAAATTTCGCTTTAGGCCACACGTAGTGTTGAGCCGCCTCTGGGTAGAACTAGGAAGGGAGGGAATTAATTAATCAGATATTTACTTTAACTTCCAAAAGCAAAGAAATGATATGTTTTCAGCAATTATTTCTGATTTTTTTCTATGGTCAATGTAATCCTCGACGTTACATACATGACATTATAAACACGTTCAGACACACAAAGTTCGATCAGGCGTTGCTAAGGTCTGTTATCAACATCACTTTGCTGATAATTTTTCTTACATATGTATATCTAAATAATATGTCTCTAAAAGATAATATAAATATATATATTTGATCGGATGACATTACTTATACAAATAATACAAAATAAATGAGTAGTAGTTTGGGACATGATTAATACTATCATAGGCTCATAGCCAAATATAAAATTCACGAAAATATGCTAATAATACTTCCTTTAAATTCTCGTATATATCATTGGGCAGAATGAGACAT